ACCAGAAATAAAAAAATAATCCTTATAAAATTTTTATTGAAATACTGCAGACATGTGCTTATTACAAGATGGCCGCCAAATCGTGTGACAAAAGACAACTAAAAGATATTAGATATATAAATGAATTTATATAGCATCTGCTTTTCAGCAAGCATTAATTTATTTACCACAATGTTGAGATAGATGTTCAATTATGCAAAACTTACACAAAAATTCGTAAAAATCGAGTACCGTCAAAAAAATGTTGAAATCATAGCGACCCCTAAAACTGTTCAGATTGGTCCAATTTTTTGTATGGTTATTCCCTAAGCATAGTGGAATAAAGTTAGGCTTGTGGAGAGAATCTAGACACACTTTGAATTTTCACCACACAAATCTGGACCACCCTAATATATATATATATGTGTATGTATGTATATATATTTGTATATATATATATATATATATATATATATATATATATATATATATATATATATTTTATTGATAATATATATTTGATTTTTTATTTTTCTTTGTTTTAGCAATTAAATGCTGGGACTTAATAAAATATGCATTCTATTTTGGTTTTCTTAAAGAACAATTGTAACAAAAATATTTTTATCATATTTTAGGCTATCTGAATAAATTAAATATACACATTTTTACAATTTTATTTTTTTGAGTAACAGTATCGCAACATTTTGAAAAATATACAATAATTTTCTAAACGCCATACTCAGCCAGAAATAATTGATGACTGCCATTTCTCATCGAAAATATATTAAATATGAATCATAGAAGTATATTATTTCATTTGAAATACTCACAAGCAATTTATTTTCATAAAAATATTTATTAATAGTTATTTAAATAACTACATGAAATTGACAAATTCGCAACATTTGTGCGTGATCATTCATAAACTGCATATAAACGATTGCTGTGACTCTATGATTCATAGTGCATTCCTGTAATTTTCTGGAAATCTTTACTAATGTTTAAAATATTATTTAAAAAAAAAAGTATACCTGTGAAACTTTTGTTTTCATAGGAATTAAAGTTTATTTATCTAGTAACTAAAATAGAAGTTTTTCTGTTCCATGCATGATTCCATTTCAAACTTTATTAATTTTTTGTTAACATTACTAATGCCTACTATTTTTTGTTTACGAAATATTTATATTGATTAGAATTAAATGAGAATAAATTGGAGATTGCTAGTTTTATTTTTATGAAAATAAAAGTAAAAACATATACGAGTTTCTGTGCGTGATTTTTTAGAAATATATATATAATATAGGATTATATTTAATATCACTGATAAATATTTACTTTTACTAAATAACCTTAGTATTCCATTTGAAAACATCCAATTATTTTATAAAATGCAACCCTAATTCTCAGGTTTTGCAAATTTCTACATTACTTAAAGATTTTATTAAGTTATGAACATTCCCATAATTTTATCATCTGATTCCAAACTGTTTCAAAGATGTCTATTCAAATTTTGCCTTGACCAACAAAAATATATGATTTTGAAAAATGGTTTTGGTCTCTGCTACTGTTCTGTGTGCAATTGAAAGCTGAAAATGTGTACACTTACATATTTTGAGGCAATGAATCCAATAAATTAACTTAAGATATTTGATACTAAACATAACACCTTTAAATTTGACCTTTATTGTATCTTTAATTGGGCATGTTTAATTAAAAATTGATAATGTAGCTCGATTTTCTTTTTTTTTTTTTTTTTAGATGTTGTCCCAAATAGTTTAGTTAGAGTTGTTACAAAGATTTGGAAAGTGTTCTTCTTTTAAACAGAAAAAGAATCTGTCAAATTAACTTAAATTTGTTACTTATAAAACAGGAATTATGAAAAATGAAAGGCAAAAAAAGTTGGTACTCCTATGTGCTTAATACACAAAAGTTGATATTTAATAATTTTCAGACGATTTTTCAACCCAGTTTCTTTGTTCGTAACCTTGTTATGAACAAAGAAACTGGGTTGAAAAATCTTAAATTTCAAAAAATTATAGTAGTTTTTTTCTCTTTTTCGAGACTGATTTTGATCCTAAAAGTTAGAAATAAAAATCATTTATAGGCGAAAAAAATATTCCTTCTCATGGTACTGTTTGGACTACTTCCCCCTCCTCCTTCTAATCTTCTCCTAACCTCCCCCCCCCACCTCCTCCCTTTTTTGTTACATTTCACAGTGGTCTAAAAAACATGATTTTTGGTTAAAATTAAAATTTTGATGTTTTTATGCTAAATTGATAATGCTGAATTTAAATCCGAAATCAGTTTTTGATTTAAAGATTTTGTTGTTCAGATATAGCATAAGCGGTCCAGTAGATTTTCAAAAATAGTTTTTATTTTTATGCTTGTGGTTTTATAATTTATTGGATTTATATATATATATATATATATATATATATATATATATATATATATATATATATATATATATATATATATATATATATAATGATTAAATATGTGGTATAAAAACAACACAAATATAGTGTCATTATGGTTTGAAATGAATATAAGTTTCTTTATTTTAACTATCTGTAACTGATTTTTTTAGGAATTGCATTTTATTTGCATATAAAAAATATGCATTTTTTTAAGTATTTTTATCTCTTTTTTTTTTTGTTAATTTACCTCCTTAATGCTGAGAACATTATGGCCACTACAGACAAGGAGGCTGCTTATTTGTGTTTTTTTTTTGTTAATTTACCTCCTTAATGCTGAGAACATTATGGCCACTACAGACAAGGAGGCTGCTTATTTATGGTTTTTTTTTTTACAGACAAGGAGGCTGCTTATTTGTGTTTTTTTTTTTGTTAATTTACCTCCTTAATGCTGAGAACATTATGGCCACTACAGACAAGGAGGCTGCTTATTTGTATTTATAACCCTCTCTCAACCTTGACCGCTGGCCACTGTGAGGAGAATCGCGTTAAGCACGGTATTGCCATCTAGTTAAATATATGGAATATTTTATAAAAATAAAAATGAATTTTTAAATTATTTTTAACAAATTAGGTAGCAACTACAACTGTATTAAAAAAAAAAATGTTTTTGAAATTTTGATTTTTTTGTTTAGTTTTGAGATTTCTTTGTTCATAACAAGTAAAATCAGGGGTGCAGAGTCCCAAATGGGCTCCTGCTTTATATCTCTATTTTTTCCTGATCTCTGGTGTCCCGAAGCTCTAAACAAGTTTGTTGACCTAAGATCTGCTAAAAGAATGAAATTTATAAGATACAATGACTTTTTATTTTTAGTCCAGAGTCCTAAAGTTGTTGCTACCATTACACCTAAAGACTCTGGGTTTTTTCCCTCTTGTAGTCCAAAAGCTTTTTTATATTTTAGAGTTCCTGGATACTAAAATCTAGAAGAAATAATTTTTTTGTGGCTTATAAACCAGAGTCTTTTTTGGAACTCCACATCCTTGAGTAAAATCTAACAAATAGAGCGAGAGGGTTTTAATAAGCTCAGGGTGGGTGGGAAAAGTTTCTTGAAAATTATGAAAGATCAACTTCTGTTTATTAAGCATTTAGGAGTACCACAATTTTTTCAAACTTTGCCTTGGACCAACATTAATCCACCATTTGAAAAATGGTTTTTGTCTTTGTTTTTGTTCTATGTGCAACTGAAAGCTGAAAATGTATATACTTACATATTTTAAGGCAAGGAATCCAATAAGACAACGTAAAATATTTAAAAATAAACATAACAACTCTAATTTTTGCATTTGTCGCAATTTTACTGGGCATGTTTATTTGCAAAAATGTCAATATAGCTTGATTATTGATTTTTTTTTAGAGAGTTGCTTTGAATAGTTTGAATTTAGTTTATAATTTCTGTTTTATAATTAACAAATTTAAATGTATTTGATCATGTTTTGTTTTTTGTTTCAGAAAAACAACTTTTCAATTCTATGTAACAACTCTAAGCAAACATTGAGTATAACTGATTTTTCAATAGCAAACTGTTAATATAATATAGCAATATGTATATATATATATATATATATATATATATATATATATATATATACATACATACATACATACATACATACATACATACATACATACATACATACATACATACATACATACATACATACATACATACATACATACATACTTACATACATACATACATACATACATACATACATACATACATACATACATACATACATACATACATACATACATACATACATACATACATACATACATACATACATACATACATACACTAGAGAACCTAGTTATGTACTAATTGCAGCTAATCACCTCAGATGAGTCGCAATTTAAGTTGCCAGAGCAGGTGGGCAAACTCAATTTGTTAGGGTTTGGGTTGAGTCTTGGTTTGGTTACTTATCCTAAGGCCAAAATCTAGGTGTGTATATATACACCTATATATTGGTCTTAGTATGAGTAAATGACAAGCAGTAAAAAGCTTTTTTAAAACATAGTTGATTAGGGTTGTTGTCAGTTTTTTACAAAGTTTTTCTATGTAAAAGCTAGACATCTGGCCCTGGTTAACTGCCTGATCTGATTTTTCCTTAAGTTTTTTATCAACTTTAAAGACACTTTCAATGTTTCAAATAAAGTTTTGATAAACAAGGTCATGGATAAAATTAAAAGATTTTGATAAATTATTAGGTTTTTTATATTTTTACAACACTATTTTCTTTTTGCTCTGTTTGTTGGGTGCAGTTTCGTTTGTTTTTGTTTTGCTTAGTCTCAGCTTTGTTTTAACTCTACATGGTTTTAACTCTCCAAGTTTTTTCAGTTTCATACTTGATTGGTTACAAGGCTTTAAACATATACAAATTTTTGAAAATTTTTTTATGTGAACAAAAATTATATAAAAAGACATTTGTAATTAAACCTTGCGGAAATGAACTCTTTTCGATTTTTTTTGTAATATAGTTCTACATTTTAATTTATGATTTTTTTATAGTTTTAGTTATAAGTAAGAACTTTATATTATTTAGAGATTTCAAATTCACCAAACAAAGATTCCAATATTTCTTTCAAAAAAGGTATTTATTTTAATTGTTATTTTCTTTGTTTCCTTTAAAAATAGTAAAAAAAATTATATTCATTTCATTAAGTTTTAACTTTTACCTTCAATTTTTTTCATGTTTTTATGTCTACTTACTTCAGTTGCTAATCTTTTTCTAATTAATTTATTTAGTTGCTTATTTTATTATTGTTGCTAATCATCAATTTTGTTTATTGTGTTACTGGCTTATGTAAATTTATATCTCATTGGTTGCTTCAAAAAAATCTTTTTTATACAATGCTCACATAATAGTTTACTGATGAATAACAAAAATTTATTGTACTACTAATTTAAGTTTTGCATTTATCAGGGATTTTTTAAATAAATTTTTTTTATAATTTTATAAAGTTGATATAGATAAAACAAAAATTGTAATTAAGTGTTTTATTTTATGAAACTATAAATTAGAACCCATGTCGATGGTAATATCATTAACAAAAAGATAGCTTGTTGTCAAGGTGCAGTATTCTTGTTGCTTAAGTTTAGTGACATGATGCTATTGTTTTGAAATATATTTGATATATATATAAAGACAGTACCATTATTTAAAGATTTCTTTGTAGTGGCAAGTTTGACTTTAAAAGTGTTAACACAATAAAATAAAATAAAAAGATGTTAATTGGATTCACTAAGTATGTTATAATTCCTATATGTAGCAGTATCACAATTGAATTCACTAAATATGTTATAATTTCTAGATGTAGCAGTATCACAATTGGATTCACTAAATATTTTATAATTTCTAGATGTAATACTATCACAACTCCACAAAGCGCGCTCAAGAACAGCTGCTGAAAAATAGAACGTCAATAGTTTTTCGAATAATTATTAAGAATAATTTTATCGCTGCAATATTTCTTTTATACCTAAAAGATTTTTATTCTAACATTTTATTTTATTTTACCAAAAATAAAATTCCTTGTAAACATTAAAAATCTATTCCAAATGTTCGTTAAAGTTTTTTAATTATAAGAGTGATTGTACTTATCAACCGCTTTATGAAAATAAATAAAAATAAATAAATAATTATTATATAAAATCGCTATTAAAAATATTAGCTATTGCACAGTTTTTAATCATACAATATTAAAATTTCCAGTTTATTACCCTCTGACTTTTTAAAAAGAAAATATAATTATTTGAAAAACTTATGTTTTTTATTCGCTTAGTATAGACAAAATGTGTCAAACGTCAAGAAAATAAACAAATGTTTTAACATTTTAAAAAACGAAACATTCCAAAACAATTTTAAATAATAACATTTCTACATTAATGATTTAAAGAAGTTTTGCGGTAATTAAGTAAATTGGTGCAGTTAATGTTGATAAATATGAAAAGCAAATAAAAAAAATTTAATGACGTCAAAAATCACATTGTGCTTATGCGTTGCGCAGTTTTTATTCATCACAAAGCCTGGAATAAATTGTTTAATTGCATATTATTATTTTATCTTAGGTCTACTAAATAAAATTAGATTCATCAATTGTCTCTCTAATACTTGATCAAAGTTTGCGTTTAAAAATTTTGTCTTTTTAGAAAAATTTTAATTTTGTAGCAAAAGCAATTGAAATGTTTTTTAAATCATTTGTTTAAATAAAAACATCAAATAGTGTTATTTATTGACTAGTTTAGGACATTTATAGTCATAGGCCAAAGAAAGGGCCAGGGGGCCTCTGACCAACTCTGCCCTCCCCCCAATCTCCCTGGATTTTTTTATTTATTAATTTTATTGATGCATTAAATGATATAATAATAAATAATTATTAAAATTCAATTTAAAATTGCAATTTTTTTTTGTTAGTTTTAGTTTGAAAAACAATTTATTTTTCATTATTTCAATTCAAATCGGAGAATGCTTACCTTTTTTTTATACCAAAAACATACAAATGTTTTGTTTTTTTCTTTTTAAAGGTTGCACTTTACCACTCCTTCATATATTGCTAAAACACAAAGTAGATACTTGAAAAACTGTAAAGAAAATCTTAACCAAAACAAATGCATATTTTTAGAAGATTTTGCTGAAGTTATTAACATGTTGTTCAGGATGAGGTTTAAAGTTATCACTGGAGTAACTATATATATCAAAGAAAATCTACCTGATGTATCAAGCGTGAAATACTTTTCCGATGGTTTTGCAGCACAATTTAAAAATTCTAAAAACTTTATCAATCTTTGTTATCACAGTAAAGACTTTGATTTAAATGCTGAATAGGTATTTTTTGCTACCAATCATGGTAAATCCCCCTGTGATGGTATTGGTGGGACTGTTAAAAGAGTAGTATGTCAAGAAAGTCTAAAACAAATAACTACTGGGCAGATTTTAGATGTTAATTTAATGTACTCTTTTTGTAAAACCAAGATGAAAGGAATTTGTTTTAAATTTTTTTCTAAAGATGAAATTGACCAAACATGAGCACAATTAGAAAAAAGATATTTAGGTGGAAGAACAGTTCCTGGCACAAGGGCGTATCATCATTTTATTCCAATTGCTTTTAACACTAAAGTTATAAAAAAACAAGTATTGATACAGGTATTGAAATTTTTGATATCATTCCAAAAAGCAAACATAATAAAGTGATTTCATTATACATTAAAAAAATGGATTATATTGGATATTTTTTTGACGGATTTTGGTGGGTAGCGATTGCTTATATAGGCAGTTGGTTAAAATCATGAAAAGGTCTTAGTTTTGAGTGCTTACTTTATATAAAGATATTGATTGTTAAAATGTTTGATTATTGTTAAAATGTTAAAAACATTTCAATATTTTTGGTTTTAAAATTTATGATTTTTAAAATCGTGAAAAGATCTTAGTTTTGTTTCTCAAACTAAAAAAAAAAAATGTTTTTAAATAAAATTTTAATAATTATTTATTACTATATCATTTAATGCATCAAAAAAAAAATTAAAAATATTAAATAAATCCAGGGAGACTGGGAGGAGGAGGCAGAAATGGTCAGAGGCCCCCTAGTCCTTCTTTGGCCTATGACTATAAATGTCTAGTCAATAAATAACACTATTTAATGTTTTGATTTTGCAATTGAGCAATTGAAATGATTTAAAAAACATTTCAATTGCTTTTGCAACAAAATTAAAATTTTTTTAAAAAGACAAAAAATTTTTAAGTGCAAATTTTGATCAAGTATTAGAGAGACAATTGATGAATCTAATTTTATTCATTAGACCTAAGATAAAATAATGATATGCAATTAAACTATTTATTCAAGATTTTGGACCACAGTCTTCATTTTACCTCCAAATATCATGAATTTATAAGTCAATAATTTTGAACAAAATTAGATAAACAAGGCATTTCCTGAGATAGTCGAGTCTTGAGGGTGCTCTTTTTGGATTCCGCAAGTAAAAATCTATTCGGTACTAAATTTTAGGAAATTTCCCCAAGCTATTATGATGATACTATATGTTGCATTGTAGTCGCTTCAGATAATCACTAAAATGCTGATTCAGTATTATTTTAACTGTCAATATCTCTGGAACCTATGTGTATTTTTAACTAAAATTTTTACAATTAGCATAATTTTTAAATATGGGCTGCAAGTGAGGTAAAAATGAACAAATTCTAAGACGTAAGGGTGTCGAAATTGTTTTTTTTTTTTTGATGATTTCATATGGAATTACCCTGCAATAGTAGTGTAGTGGCACTTTTGAAATCGATGATTACATCATTTTTCAGGAAAAATTCTTTGAAGGTTTTAATATGCACATTTTGGAAAGCAGCTATAAAAAATTTTGAAATAAAATTTTGTTCATAAAAATTTTTCATGCACAAATATTTTAACAAAAAACAACTTTATTTTAGGTTTAAACTGAGTTTTATATTCATTAATTCTCATAGTTGCTAAAATATAAAGAAGCAACAATCTTTTTTAACTAACTTTTTTTAAACTAATTTACTCCAACTAGGCTGCAGGCAACTACTTTTTATGTTGGGACCTCATAAAACAAAAATATTTTTAAAATGCAAAAAAATAGTTGACATATTAATCAAAAAACCGTTAATTTGATCTGCTAGATTTCAAGTTTTTAATAGTAATTTATAAAAAAATTGATTAAAGTTAAGTTATATAAAAATGTCGTTTTATTAATTCTTAAGCATCGTTTTTAAGTTTCTTTAATATTAATTTTTATATAGTTTTTTTTTTATCTGCATTATTATGACCTGATTTCCTAAAATGAACTGGTTTTTATGACATTTTGAAAAAACATTCAGCCTAATGAAAAAAAAAAAAAATAATAACAAAAAAATGAAAATAAATATTTATAATACGTTTTTGATGCAGTATTCAAAAAATGTACTTGTAATGCTGAAATAAGAAAGTAATATTTTCAAAATCAACTTATGATATCCTCTTATGAACCTTCTGATAACCTCATATGAACCTTATTATAACCTTCTATTAACGTTATGATAACCTTGTGATAACATCCTATGAATCTTTTGATAACCTCCTACAAACCTTATGGTAACCTCCTATTATCTTTATGATAATCTCCTATGAATCTTATAATTTCCTTTAAAACTTATTATAACCTCCTATAAACCTTATGATAATATTTGATAGCTTGATGTTAATGTTTTTAAAGTTGTTGTTCATCTTTCTTTCTTTTTTTCGGTTTTGCTAAAGATCGGCTTAATTTAATATTCAGTAAGAAATTATAAAATTCATAAGAGATTTAATAAAAAATTCTAAAACATTTTAGTAAAAAAAGAAAGTTTTTGTAAGTAATAAGGTTTCAATAACTTTAAAAAGTTATAGCTAAAAAGTTTAACAACTTTAGGTATTTACATTTATTAATCATCCACAGTATATCATACAGGGTAAATTATTATAAGGTTACATTTTTGAAAAGAAGTAAGTTTATCTTGGAGTATTTACTTCAATATCTTTGAAGATTTTCCTTTGCTCCAATGAGTCCCAGAACTCAATTGCATAGCTTAACCTTTAAAGATCTGTTTTAGGAATTTATTTATTGACACATAAACTTTTAATTTTTTTTGTTTTTTGTTTTGCATTAAGTTCTCTAGATAAGGTTAATTTTGATTGCATAAACCTATGACATCATCTAAAAAAAGGTACCTTTCAGTTTGTTTTTGAACTTTATGCTTAAGTGAGTCTTAATAACAAATAAAAAAGTTCAAATTAATTAAAAAAAAATTGAATAACAATTTTAATAAGAAATTCTAAAATTTAAAAGAAATTTAGTAAGAAATTTCTAAGAATTTTCTTTAAAACCAAAACCAGTTTTTATAAATAATATTAATAAATAAAAAAATTTGTGTTTGAACTGACAACTTTATGCTTAAGTAAGAAACAATAACAAATAAAAATATTTGTCAAATATAATAACATTAACGCAAATAAAAATTTTGGTTTTATATAACTTCAAATCAATAAAAATCAATTTCACAAAAAATTATGATTGTGATGATGACTTTAATAGAAATCGTTTTGTTTTATTTAGATTTGTTGAGGATGTCGGCTGAACTGAAAAAATTTTATCTTAATTATTATGGGAAAATTGGTGAACTTCAACCACTATTAAAAGCATCTGCAAATGTTGATCTCATACAAAAATTTATTGATCTATGTATTGTTGATGCAGTTAATGCTCAAATAGACGCTTATTTCAGTGTTGAACGAAAGGAATTTCTTGAAAAGCAAATTCGTTATACACCAATTCCATACAGTGATATATTTATGAAAGAAAAACCAGTAATATTAATATCTGGAATAGCTGGTATTGGGAAAACATGGTTGCTTAGAAAATGTTTGCTTGATTGGTCAAATGATTTAATTTGGAAAAATGTTGAACTTGTTTTCTATTTGGAATGCAGGATACTCAATTCATATGCAAATATTTCTAATATTAATGAATTATTAAATATTTTCTACAAGGATATTGTAAACGATTTTAAATTTAGTAGTCACACTGCACTGTTTATAATTGATGGGTTGGATGAGTTTAAATATTTCAATGAGCTATTAAATCCAAGTTTGACTAGCACTCTGATTGTTAAAGTTTTACGAGAAATTCAAAAATACAAACATGTAATTGCTGGTAGAGTTTATGCAATTGATCAATACCAAAGTATATCTACAGAACATAGCGATAAGTTAACCATTCAAGTAATGGGGTTTAATGAAAATGGAATAAATAATTATGTAGAAAATCATGTTATAGAAGAAAAAAAAGAATTCGTAAAAACAACTTTAAAGGAGTCTTCAATTGCAAAAGCCATGGCATCTGTTCCGTTTTATTTATCTTCAATGTGTAAAATTATAAGTGATTCGAAAAAAATAGATACAAATTCTTTCTTAACAATGACAGATTTGTATACAAATATTTTTTTATACTTTTTGCGAAAACATATCATAAAAAACAATAAACTGATATATGAGATAATGGAAGACAGTTCCAATAAAAAGTATATTTTAAATATTTGTAAAATTGCATATAAAATGTTTGTTAACAATAAAATAATTTTTTCCAAAGATGAAATTCAAGCTTTTATTAATGACTTTGATAAAAATGAAGGTAATTTCTTTGGATTTATAGAAAGGATTGAAACAGATCTTGGTTGTTATTATCAATTTGCACATTTGACAATAATGGAGTTTTGTGCATCTGTATATGCATATAATTGTTTAAGTAGTGATGAGATTATGGCCAATGAGAGGCTGAAGATTAGTTGTTTATCAATGATTTGTGGATTAGCCAATAAAAACCCAAACAGTTTATTAAAGTTTCTTGTTAACCTGGATTCTTCTAAAAAACACTATAAAGAATCTTCATTTTTGTTTTCTATTTTGGGTAAGTTTAAGAACTTTGTTGCATTTTGGTGAGCTTATTTTAGATATTCATTTAGGAGTTTACTAAGATGTAAATAATATTGAGCAGTGGTTCCCAACTCTGTGCTCCCTGGTACCATAGTGCCCGCGTAATGATTTATATATGCCTGCCACTATTTGACAGTGAAATTTTTTTATTCATAAATAATAATTAAAATGCTTAATACTTTTATTTATTTGTTTTTTAAGATTTTTAGTTTTTTTGATTGCTAAGGTTTATTAAATACATTCATAACTTTGCAATATTGTATGTATGAGTGCTTCATTTGCTGACAGTACTTTCGCAATTTGTTTCATTGCAAGGCAGATGCTTTCATGCAATGGGAGCACATCACTTTTTGAAAATACAGAAAACCTGAAGTAGTCACATGTATGTACTGTCCCAAATGACAACTAAAATAATTAAATTCATTGTGTAACCCTTGCTCGCTTTATAAATGCTGACAGTTATTGTTATTGTGGTTTTGGTTATTTTTAGATAAGACTTTTTATTTATTCAATTTTTTTTGGAGGAAGGTAGGGGGGTTTGTTTTTTAAGTTAGGTATAACAAAATGATTCTTCTTAAAGCTACAAAACATAATTTATAAATTCACAAACTAGTTGCACAAATCTTATATATGCATACAGAGCCGTTCAGAAAGTGAATCACCCAAGCAATATACCCCGAACCTATGGGGGCCCCAACAGTGGCAATAGCATTACGTTTTTTTTTTTTCCTTTTTTTTTTCCACATCAAGAGCTTCAAGTTAAATAATAATAAAACAGCTCATAAAGTTCTTTTTTAAAAATAAATTTAGTGTTGCATAACATATTGATGTTCATCTTTATGTTCTACAAAATAGGGGTTATGCAACATATTGATTGTCCATATTTATGTTCTACAAATTAGGGGTCTGAATTTTTTTGACATTTGTTGACAGGGTGAGGTCAAGACAATTTGACGTCAACTATGTTACTTTTTTTTTTTTTAATTTAGTTGATTTAAAAAAGAAAAATTAGTCAGAGTTTGCAGTTCTGTGTTAAATGTGGTAGTGGTGTATTGGAATATAGCTTGCTTCATAAGGAAGAGGTTTGAAGTTCGATTCCCACCAGGTCCCTGGTAGTACCATGCTTATCTTGTTTCTCCGCGCAGCAGCCTTGTTTGTGTTTCGAAGTTATAGAGTTGAGGGAGGGTTATAACCACAAGTAGCCTCCTCATCTGTAGTGGCCTTCTTGGCCTTGGGGAGGTGAATTACAAAAAAAAAACAAAAAAAAAACATACCTGCTAAACCTTCAGTATTTCAATTAAGTTAGTTATATTTCTACTTCTTAAAAACTGTGTTGTGCTTTAAAAAGACAACACAAGGTGTTTCATTACGGAAAATTTTTGAAAATAGTTAAGTTATATGCACAACGCCCTAAGTAATGAGTCAAAAAAAGTCTGTAAATTTTTGAAAAAATTCAAAATATCATTTAGAGGTCTTCATCTTGAAAAAGTAGCGTTGTTTTACCCTTTTTTCAACTTTGAATTTAATTTCAACATAAAATGACATTAATTCTTAAAAAATAAATAATTTCTTATTACGTTATATTCTTGGTGTATATAATAAAGGTTATCAGATGAACATTTGGCCAAATTTTCATAAAAAATAGTTAATGTCTAGAGGTCACCGTATTATAAAGTTTACTTTTTTTAACATATTTTATTGCTAAAAAATTCTTTAAATGCTTCAAAAAACATAATACTTTAAATAAAATGCAAAATTTTAGTTTTAAGCATAATTGACCACTAAAGGTCGTTGCATGATTAAGTATATAAATTTCATAAACTTATTTAAAAAAAGGTAGTTGTTATATCAATTAGCAAAATTGAAATTTAAAAAATTATTTTTAAAACTAATTTATTGGATAAGCAAATATTTTATTTTCATTATAACAATGAATCTTAGAAAAAATAATCAAGATTACTTAATTGGTAACCCTGAAACCAATAAATTATCAAGCTACAGTCGCCTACCAACAATAAAATATGTGTTAGGTAGATACTCTCATTTACATTTATATTCAAAAAACTTCTGCAAGAGATATTTTTAAACTTGTTCTTGGTGAGCTGAAGGAAGTTTGGAAAAAAGCTGAAATACCAATTTTATCAAATAACTTTTGTTATTCATTGCTTTCCAAATTATTGGGGGAAAAGGTAAATATAAAAATACTTGATCAAGCAAGTTGGAATTTTAAAGTTGGAAAAGAATAAATTGTCAGATTTTGTAATGAACTTGAGCAACTTTTTAATAAGTTGATAATATCACGTAGACCAAAATGGAAAGTATAGCAAATTAAAACTTTGTAAATTGCAACTTTTAGCTGTTTTGTCTCATTAGGTTTTTTGTTTGGAGTTTTTGTAGTTATGGAAACTGGAAATATGTATTTAAGTTAGAAGTTTAATAACTTTTTTACCTTTAACTTTTTTTTTCAGAGCAACCATTTTATTTTTAAATAGTTTTCTATAAAGTAAACTTTTGATGTCTTTTTTGTTTTAGTTGTAAATTATTCTATTTAAAACATGTTTTATTTTTTTTCTGTTGAACTTTTTTTTTTTTTTTTTTTGTAGGAAGGGGGGTAATTTTTCAAGCGTATTTTTTTGAATGGACAGCCCTAAATCCTGGTCTGCAAGAGCTTTTGTTTAAATCATATCTATATGCTTATCTTGACTTTTGCAGAATAAGATTTGATCACATGATCAAATCTTATTTTAGAAATGAACTTGAATTGCTTCACATAAAATAAACTCTTAATGCAAGTTTTGGAAAGAAACCTCTTGCCTATTTTACTTATTAAACAAAGTTTCTGAAATAAGACTTAGGGAACTCTTTAGAATTAGAGTGATTGCATTACGTAGTTTTGCTTCAATTCCAGTGACAGTGACCTCAAGTGAGCGTTTATTCAGTAAATTGAAGCTCATCAAGATTCTTTCGCGCTTAACTAATGGAAAAGAATAAACTAGTGACCTTGCCATTTTAAAAAATTTAACGGGTCTTTTATTTTTTTGGAGTAAGGGGCGTGGGCCTCCAAGCTGAAGGAAGCTTTAGGGCCCCCAAATCCTGGGAATGGCCCTGTATGTATATAAATCCTCCAAATTAATTTAACCCTTAATTAATTTAACCCTTAATTAATTTAACAATATTTTGTTTTTGATTTAGAACCTATAAATATTTTATAAAAATTGTTCATAAGAAAAATTTATGTCTTGAGTTCACTTTTATGAGGCTTTTAAAAACTAATTTAAATTCTTTTCTTTGCATGAAATACCTTTTAAATTCCATTCAACTAGAAATTTAAATTTTTTTTCCTATAGAAAAAAAATGTTGCAGTATACCTACACTGATAAATTTTTAGAGAGCAAAAATTAAAAATTACATTTGTATTAACAATTTAAATTTGTATTACCATTTTTATTTTTGCAAAAATTATTTTAAATTACATTAGTAATAACAAGCGTTAACATTTGTAATAACATTTAAAATAAATAACTTGAAAACAATAATTTTTCTAAAATAAAGTCATTATCAGTTTTAAAAGGTAGTAATTCTAAAATAAAGTCATTATCAGTTTTAAAACTTTTTATTTTATATCTAGTTTTTATTTGTGTAATTTTGTATTTTGTATGCTCAATTTAAATCTTTAAAGAATTTTTATAGTCAAAAACAACATAAAATTGAAAAAAAATTCAATTAAAAAATTTTTTTTTATTGTGAAACTTTTTAATTCTTTTGTTCATTTCTTATATTTGCTACTTCAAAGTAATAATTATATATATATATATATATATATATATATATATATATATATATATATATATATATATATATATATATATATATATATATATATATTATATTATATTATATTATATTTTATTTTATTTGTATATTGTGTATTATTGTTTTTGTATGTATAAAAATGTATTTTGTATGCTGAATTTAAATCTTTAAACAATTTTTATGACTTTCAACAACGTGTTAAAGAAATTTTACATTTTTTTATTGTCACAAAATATAAAATCAACACAAAAATTAAAATGAATTCCTAAACAAAAATTTTTTTTAGTTAAAACTATTAAATTGATTTTTTTGTTTCTTATTTTAAATTAATATTTTGTTCCTGCAAAATGTTAATTTAGCATCACTAAAAAAATGGTTTTTAATTTATAATGGTTTTATTTATTTGGTTTTTTTATTATTTTACTTGTTGTATATAACTTACCTAGTATTTTTTAATCTTAAATGTCATTTTAAATAATTTTATGTGCAATACTAGATTATTAAAGATGAACTATTGGACATGAAGTTAACAAAAACAAATTAAAACACATAGTTTGTTTGTTTTTTATTAAAAAAGCCAAACTTAAAGTATAAACAAAAATTTCAGAAGGTTTACTCTATTTTGATTATTTTATAAGTAAATGCGTATTTTTTTGAGATGCATAAATGATAAAATAAGGCATCAGAAAGGGCGTAATAGTATACATGCAGGTGTGAGCATGAGTTCTGTGTATTATGTTGAACATCTAAGAGTATATTTCTTGATCTTTGTCTTGTGAAAAGTCTTGTTTTTGGTCTTGGATTGATTTTGTGATGTCTTGGTCTTGATTTTTGTCTTGAAGTCTTATATCTTGGTCTTGACCAATAGTTAATTGGTCTTAGTTTTAGTCTTAGCTTTAACTGTCTTGACCACATCTCTGGTACTTAGAAGGCATACTTTATCATTTAGATTTAAAAAGCCATAGTTTTGCAAAATATTGTTATATACTCTCCGAACTATGCAATTATAACATTACGCACTCTTCAAGGAAATTATAACAATTTTTTGTGTTGCTCTTTACGGGAAAAATAACAATAAAGTTGAAGGTGTTTTTGCTAAACATTTTACCTTAAAACTAGGATATCAGATTGTAAACAACAATTTTATCAGCATTCAGTATTTAAAATGTTTTTAAACAACAAAAAAGATTTTTTATTTGTTCACTTAT